CAGTGTAAACAACGGACTTAAGAATGGAACCTTCTTTTCCCCCACAGAAATAGTGGGAACACCTTCTTTTGCACCTCATGGTGCTCTGCTTTAGGTCATGGGTTAAAATCCTTTTTTCCAGAAGTGTCATGGCCAGAGTCCACAGGAGGTGAGGATTTAGGGGTGGTTTGTACTTAGGACTGCTGGGAAGGGTTCTCAGACAAGACAAACATTCAAGTGAAGGGGGACTATCACAGGGCACCAAGGGAGGGATTAAACAGCATCTCCCTTCCAAAGAAGAATGGAGCTGACCCTGTGTACCCTAGCAATCATCTCTGGCACATTATGGACTGGATAAGCAGTGTGCTGTTTCTTGGATTCTGTATTGATAGTCTCTGGGGAATGAGGCTTTTGGATTGTACAGTTCCAACCTTGGTAAACACCAAGGCAAGACAATAGGAGTTGAGGATTGTCAGTTTTCCCTTTTCCCATAAATATTGTGGCCTCAAATCCCATATTTTCACGCAGCTTCCCTAAAGTCTAGGGGTTGCATGTCAAATTTTGGATGAAATAATTTGTTTCCCTGAATTCCATGTGGGGAATCCAAGGAAGATAAATATTTTATGGAGTGGGCTGGATTCAGAACAGCAAAGGAAGTGGTCCCAGGATTGGGAAATATTGAGAAGAGATCCCCTGAAGAATGAATGGAAGATCCTGATGAGACTTTAGAAATCTCCTACTCCCTCACACATATAGGGGTTTGGGCTTCACCTTTCCCAGAATTCTTATGAGGAAACATCCAGAAGGGGTAAGAAATATGCTATTTCTAGCTTATATCTGATTGGCTGTGGGCAGTGAATTCTTTGCTGGATGTAGTGGAGCACAATTATCTTGGGAGAATCCTAGCCTTAAGGGTTAGGGTCCAAAAGGAAAAATGGAAGGGAGTCTCCCTGACCTCTGTAGAAATAGTTATGTGACTGTGCTCCGTAACTAGGCTGTGTCCTGGGAATTACTAGGCAAGGCTGCAGCTCTAAATGTTGTTTCCATAAATTCAGTATCAGGAGTCTGTGGGATCTGAGGGTTTTGGAACAGGCCAAGACTCAGAAGTCCTAATCTGGAGGGGAGAAACCTGAAGGACAGTTGGGAGCCTTCCACCCCTACAGAAATAATTAGGCTTTAGTCCTGTTTGACCAGATTGTGGCTCTGGGAACCTCCAGGCAAGGTTGCAAGTCTAAACATTGTTTCCACGAGCCCATTATCAGGACTATGGGACTTGAGGTTTTTGAGATGAGCCTGAAACTGGTTTATCAAGAGGAGGGTCAGCCTTGAATGGGAGGAGTCTCAGCGACTAGTGGGGGCTTTCTTTTTCCGTACGAAAAGAGGTGTGGCCAATTCCTTTTGCTCAGACTGTTGCCAAAGAGGCGTCCAGTCTGCTCCAGCTTGGTGTTTGTTACCTGGAGCTCCGTGTCCGAAGTCTAAGGCAGGTAAGGCCTTTTGTGAGAGGGCACTGGGTTTAGTGGAGCACAGGTTCTGACCTCAGGAAATATTGAGGAGAGAGCTCTGAGAGTGAAATAAAAAGTTGAGAGACGATTGGACCCACACATATAGGGGTCTGTCCAGTATTCATCTCGGAAATGTTCTAGAAATGTTAAGTGGTATATTGTTTCCAGCTTTCATCTGGGATACTGAAAGCAGTAAGACATTGAGAGTGGGCAGAACTGGGTCAGCAGGGCGTAAGTCCAAGTCTGGAGGAATGTAAACGGAGAGCCTTGGAGGAACAGTGATCAGAGATTGGGAGAATTGGTCTGCAGCACAAATAATAGGGGCTTGTGAATCCTTCCCTGGTAGAGAGGCTTTTAGGGAGGGAGCTAAACAGCTCCTTGAGTGGAGAGATGCTAAAGGATAATGTGAGCTTTTCTTCCCACAGAAAGAGGCATAAGTAGTCTCATTTCTGATGTAGGACCTCTAGGAAGACCCAAGAAAATGGGTTCATTTTTGTTTCTCTTTTCTGTGCTGAGAGTTCAAGGGAGATGAGGCTTTTTGTCAGGTGGCAGGACTGGCTGGCAGGGGAGCAGTGGCAGCTTCAGCAAACAGGAAGGGAGTAATGCAAGGATTTGGGGCCTACCCCTTTCCCACAGAGAGAAAGAGGCTGTTCCACTTTCTCAAACAACATTCATCTCAGGGAAGCGTCAGGCACTATGAGGAGTCCGTTGTGTCTAGAGTTTATCTTTCAAGATGACAGAGGTGAGGCTCTGATCATCATGTGTAAAAATCTGAACCTTGAAAAGGAGGAACTTGAGAGCGCAGCCTTTTTGCTATCCCCCCTCCCCCCTATAGAAATTGAGATGGAACCTCAGTGCTGCTTGTCCAGGAAATTTCTTAATTAATTAAGCTCTAGGCCAGTGGTTCTCAACCTTCCTAATGCTGCAGCCCTTCAATACAGTTCCTCCTGTTGTGGTGACCCACAATCATAGCATTATTTTCATTGCTACTTCATTTTGCTACTGTTATGAACTGTAATGTAAATATCTGATATGGGGGATATCTGATATGTGACTCCTGTGAAAGGGTCATTCAACCCACATGTTGAGAACCACTGCTCTAGACCATGTCACAATACAAAGTGTTTTGCTACCCTGGTGAAATGTTCGGGGAATCAGAGAGGTAACAATTTAACATCTGATATTGACGGGTTTTTCACTTTAATTCCTGCATGTAGAAAAATCAGGGGCAGATCTCTAGGGAGGACTGGGAGGACTCTGGGGAAAGATGAAGAGTCTGCCCATCTTCCACAGAAATAGACCTCTGCCACTATTGTCCTCAGCTCCTGTCCCTGTGTGACTGACTCTAGGCAGGCCAATCAATGGGACATTTCCCTTACTCTATGCTGAATTTTTTCAACGGTATTAGATACCAAACACCATACTTAGGAGTTCCAGTCTTGAGAGACATAAATCTGAGGGAAGAGTCAGAGCTTTTCCTCCTCCCACAGAAATAGTCGGGAAACAGCCCTGCACACTAAGGTACTTGCTTATTGATCATTAAGAAAAAAATAAACTGAAGGAGGCCAGTGAAAATTCTGAAAGAAGAGGAGGATCTCTTGGGAGGAGGAGTGAGACTTTCCCTTTCCCTTCAGAAATCAGTAGTGTTAGTCCTGCTTCCTCAGACCGCCTTACCAGGATGCTGAGACGAGGTATCAACAAGAGCACTTTTTAACCATAATTCTGTGTGCAGATCCCAAGGAAGATCTGTTCTATGAGAAGGGGAATGTATTCCAAAAAGCTGGGAAGGATTCTTTGCCTTGGAAAATATCCAAGAGACTGCTCCAATGAAGGAGGACTGGGGAAAGTCTGACAGAGTCCTCTCATTGATATTTTACAAACCTCTGCTGCTAATCACATTCCAGCGTCTTCACAAAAGGCTTCCCAAATTTAAATCATTGACAAACCATACCCCCTCTCTGTCTGGAGCCCCCCATCACAGACAATCAGACAGAAGGGAAAGTGAGTTCCTTTACATCCTCCCCTGTAGAGTATAGTCCAGCACCCCCTAAAAGAGCCTCATTAACTTCAGAGTCCCAACATGGAACTCAAGAATCTGTAACAGTTCTAATGTCTTCCTTTAATTCTGTGGTGGTAGAGAAGACTTATAGTTCTTAGGGCAAAGCTTCATTAGTATTTCACCGCCTCACTGTTCTCTCTATTCTCAGGAAGTAAGCATCTTCATTAGAAGAGAAGGCCATCTGGGAAAGAGGAACAGCAAGCAGATCAGCAGAGAGAAAAATCTGTGTGGAGAGCAGGTAATAGTCCTGAATGAGGAATGAGGACACAGTCCTTTTTTTTTTTGGGGGGGGGGGACAAAAGGTATGCTAAGCTCGATTATATCCTGTTGCCCTCTCTTGGAGGAGCTGTGTACATGGTCGTATAAGGTTCATACCTTATCTCTATGCTCAGATAATTGAGTGCTTGTTCTGAGGAGGCAGACCAGGAGCAACAGAGGGAGAGCTCTGAAAGTTATCATTATAAAGAATGAAAGATCTTACAGCAACTTGATGTGCCTTGCTTTGTTGATATCCATGGGAGGCCTGCTCCTTTCTGAACAGAAACAGAAGAGGAGTGGATTGGGGGGAGCAGAGGGGAGGTGAGGGAAGGAAATGGAAGGGGAAGAGAGAGGGGAAACTGCAGTCAGTATGTGAAATTAAATAGATAAATAAATAGATATATAAATAAAAAGGAAAAAAAAAGAATGAAAGAATCTCTAACCTAGGGGAGTTGTGATCCCTGCAGTTTGGCTGGCACTATCTTGTCATTCACTTAGCCTGACATGGTTCGAAATGGTGCTCCACCACTTCCACTTCACTGTGTTAGGGATGTTAAGTCTTGTCCTGTGAATTTGACCTCAATCTACCAGATGGGTATAATCCGTTTCTTCCTAGGGAAAAGGTAAGCACAAAGGGGGCCTTTCACCCACAACTGTTCAGAGTTCAGCCCCAAGAGCCAGGACAACCCACTGCTCTACTTTTATTCTTAACCTATGGATGCCACCTAGTTCCCTATTACAAAACTTCCAGGAACTATATGAGTACCTTGGGGTTAGTTACATGTTTTCAAAATCATAGAACGAAAGAGACCCAGCAAGTGTCAACAGTCCAAGTTAGATACACACTTGAATATGCACAAACATTATACTGTAGAACACAGGGACCCCAAGGCAATTGATCCCACATACTCTAGTGTACTTCCTGAAGTCAGACTCTGCCATCTGGCTGAACCCTAAGTACCTTTATCACTTTCTTCTATAGGTTCCTAAAGGACAAGCCAAATAGAAAGGCTGCAGAACTCCAAGGCTATACCATATCACCTGGAGAAGACCTGTAAGTTGGCTTTTGTTATAGCCTTCAAGAGCAGATATTTCCTTTTGATGCTGCCCACTGTTTGTTTTCTTGCCTCTCCATGCCTGTGGAATCCCTTCACCCTCACTCCTGCTTACATTTCTGTCTTCTGTCTCCAGAAAGCAAAATAATGTCTCGCTACGGAAAGCACCCACGCCTCAGCCTGGAAGAAGGTGTAAACTTCCAGAACCCAACTGAAACGGATGAGTTCCCACTGGTTCCCACACCTGAGAAGGAGGAGAGAGAAGGAGAAGAGGAGATAAAAGAAGAAGAGGAAGAAGATAACAATAAGCAGAAAAATGAGGAAGATAACAAAGAGAAGGAAGAAGAGGAAGAAAAAGGGAAAGAAGATGAAAAGGAAGAGTGTGGTGATGAAGTGAATGATGAAGAAAATGAGAAGGGAGAGGAAGAAGCAGACTTAGCTTCCATCTTTTTTTCATCTTCTAATGTCTCTTTTCCTACTTTTACCCCTCCTTCTCCTTCCTCCTCCTCCTCCTCCCCTTTCTTCTCTCCTTCCTCCTCTCCCTCTTCCTCTTCCTCCTCCTCCTCCTCCTCTTCCTTCTTTTCTCTGGTTCAGAGCAACCTAGGGGGAAATGAGGACTATGCTGCTGGGATGCTGAGCATTTTTCAGAATGCTCAAAGTTTCTTTCCCTCACCTACTTTAGGGGAGAATTTAGATGAAGCAAACAGTCACCAGGAAGAGAGTTCAGGTGCCATTGAGTCTCCAGAAGACCCTGAAGCTTTGCTGAATATTGTGATACAAGAAAAGGCTACTGATTTGGTATTTCTTTTCATTTACAAGTATAGAATGAAGGAACCCATCACATTATCAGAAATTTATGAGATTGTCACAAAAGATTATGAGGATCATTTTGCTGTCATCTTCATTGAAGCTTCTAAATGCTTGGAGATGACCTTTGGCATTGATATAAAGGAAAGTGATCTTCTAAGCAGTGCTTATGTCTTTGTCAACTCACTGAACCTCACCTATGAGGACATGCTGAATGACAATGATAGACTGCCTAGAAATGCTTTCCTCATAGTTATTCTGGGTGTAATATTCATAGAAGGGAACCGTGCTTCTGAAGAAAGAATCTGGGAATTTTTTAAGCTGGTAGGAGTGTATGATGGGGAGGAGCACTTCATTTGTGGGGATCCCAGGGAGTTCCTCACCGTAGATCTAGTGCAGCAAAATTACCTGGAGTATCGGCAGGTGCCTGATAGCCAGCCTCCATGCTTTGAGTTCCTGTGGGGTTCAAGAGCCTATGCTGAAACTACCAAGATGAAAGTTTTGGAGTTCTTAGCAAAGATGAATGGGTGTGACCCAACTGATTTCTCAATCTGGTATGAAGAGGCTTTGAGAGATGAGGAAGAGAGGGCCTGGGCCATAAATGATTCTGCAGATGGAAGTCCAACCACTTGGTTTTTAGAGCGTTGATTATCAGGTTTTTTTTTACTTCATGTGAGGGACCTGTTTCTATGTGGGTTCACTCTAATTTTGAAAGGAGCAGCCAAAATTTTAAGTAAGGGAAAAATCAAGCTTAGGCTCAGTAGAAAAGGTTAAAGAATCACTATGTTAATTGGGGGTTTGCTTAGCTGTTTAATTTTGGGTTAATTTTAAATGTTATTCCTTGTAAGCAAAAGTTTTTTTTGCTTTAGAATCTATGAAACTGGTAACACTTATTATTGTTTTTTTTTTTCAAAAATATAGTGGAAAATTATGTAATGTAGCTAACTTTTGAATTAGTTTAAACCTTTTAGTTTATTCTGTAAAATTAAAATGCAGTGTACATTTATTTACCAGGCTCATGTAAGAAAACAGGACATATTAATAAATCTTAATAAAGACTGCTCACTGACTCATTCACCAAATATGAGCGAAATTTTTCTGTTTTGGAAAATAATATGATATTGGGGTTAGGTGCATGGTAAAATAAGACACTTCCCTCCAGAGGGAATGGTAGAGTCTGTGAACATCTATCATATAGGGAACATGGTGAGATGTGTGTCAAGATGTAAAGAACAAGTAGAAAGAAGGAACAAATGAGGAGAAGGGTTTCCAGTTATCAGAAGCCAAGTGCAAAGGTTCAGAGCCAGTGAAATTGGGGAATTGGGGAAATTCAATGTTTTGGGATATATTTTATATTAAGCCATGAAAGGCATCACAGGCCACAGGCTTAGTAAATCAAAACTAAGTGTTCTATGCTTAAAGGTCCAGGGATTTCCTAGGAACAAAGAGGTGCATCCTTTCAGTCTGCCTACAAATTATCAGTGCATCATTTTTCCCCCTGCCCTGGGAGTCAGAGCCCTCTCTCTTACCACACATTAAAGTGGGTGTTCTTGACTGCCATTTGTACTAATTCAAACACGGTCAAGGATCTGGTGACAGTGAAGTTACTATACAAAGTATATACAGAGAATGATCAGTCAGGAGAGAAAAAAAGAAAGAGCTAGCTTTTTTTTTCATTTTTTTTTATTAAGAGATTTTCTATTCATTTTACATACCAACCACAGATTCCCCTGTCCTCCCTCCTCCCACCCCCCAGCATTCCCCCCCAACCCACCCCCATTCCCACCTCCTCCAAGGCAAGGTCTCCCATGGGGAGTCAGCAGAGCCTGGTAAATTCAGTTGAGGCAGGTCCAAGCCCCTCCCCCTGCATCAAGAGTGAGCAAGGTGTCCAACCATAGAAAGAGCTAGCTTTTTACTTAACTGGGAGTTTCTGATTTTTTTTTAGCTAAGCCCACCCGACTTAGCCCCCAAATAATACACTGTCTATAAGGGAGTATGTGGGTTTTAGTTGTAAAGCACTTTTTTCTGATTTGGTATTCTTTCTCTCCCTGAGTGGCATTTCGTGACATACTCTGGTTAATGACAACAACAAAACCCAGGGGATAAAACAGCAGGGTCTATACTCAAATTGATATTCAAACTAACTTTCATTCATTAAATAACCAATATATTTGGGCAGGACGCCAGGTGTTTTCCAGTCAATGCATTCTCACTCTGCTGCCACATTTCCCAAACCTGCTTCTGAGAGAGCAAATAAAGGCTTCTGGTTCTTTGTAATTATCCAAAGAACAGGCACCTGGTATGTGGCCAGGTCTGGACAAGAGTTTATCTATAGTACACTTTGTTCCCTATCTCCTAGCCCAAGGCATGTCTTTGGTTTCTTGCTTCATTTCTTGCTGTTCCAAAATGTCTCAGTTGACAAAAAGATGCAATCCAAATATTCAAAGCATAATGAGGATAAAAATTTGTGATTGCTTTTCACATTACTAGTAGGGTTATCTTGCCCTTGTAACCAGAAAATTTCATAGCTGTGTCCTTGGAAGCAAACAACAGCTTTGATCAAATGTCAAATTTTCTAGTCTTGAAATTCTCAGCCCCCAGAAATATTTCATCATTCAAACAATCAGAAAATTAATCTTCATACAAAGATGGTTAGATTTATGCAATAACATCAAGATTTTGGGGGTTCCCATGGATGTTATTTAAAAATTCAATACACCAACAGAAGCTTCTTACCAAACAGGAGAACCATGGATCTTCTCAGAAATTTTATAGTCAGTGTATAACAGACATGACATGAAAGGCTACGGAAACATCCATAAGTGAAAAATTGCTGAAGTCCTTAGGAGAAAATGTAAAACCAATCCAGAGCCCTAACATAGCTGCCACTCAGGTGTGATATGAGAGTTCAGTATAGCCTGAAATAGGGTCCAGAGGAGAGGGGGTAGGAATCTTGGTAAGGACTGTGGTTGTGATATACAATACCTTACCTGACTAGGCTTAGTGTATCCTTGAATTTCCAGTCCAACTCTAAGATTCAGTGTGATCTGAGCATACAGGCATAAGGAGTGGGCCAGAGAAGTTCTAGATCACATGTGCTGTGGCACAACACTTCTGGGTCAGGGAGAGTCAGCTGTGTCTTCTGCATAATTCTGAGTGAGCCACCTCCTTTGTCCACTCTGATGAGTGTCTGTGGTCTCTCAAATGTGCTTAATGCTCACCAGATGGTATGTATTTCCCCTCCGTGATGGAGAAGATGACTCTGTTAATAGGGTGAGGGCCATGTGGCCTGTAATTTAAACAGGCAAGAAAGAAATCCAAGTTCAGTGAATAAAAGTGTTCAGCTTAAGGATGAAGAATTGAAATGGAAATGCATAAGGATGAAGTGCTGAGGGAAACACATCTGGGAACATCATCTATATGATGTTCCCTTCTTAGACTTAGCCCTTTTAATTTCTAGGTTTTATTACCTTGGTAGGTAATTCTTCTAAGTTTGTCACAGTTGTTCTATGTGGCAGCCAGATATTATCTGAGGTATTGGAACAAGGTATAGTTATCTTCTTCAGCATAGATTGAAAACATATGCAGCCAGAATAGATCCTTTTTATAGTAAAAGAAATATGTGACTTGAAAGACAGGGAGGGAACTCCATGGATCACACTTTTGAAAACCTCTTCATATTGAAAAAAATGTTTAGGTGTGAGGAGGAAACATGTAAAATGACACCATGCCTTTGCTCCCCATTGAAATCCTGAATGAACAGATCATTGGCACCATTTTGATTTTCTACCAAGGAGGTGGAAGACCCTGGTAGAGCTCATGTTCCACATTTTGTTTCAACACATGTGACCATCTGCAATTTTATGCATTCATTCACTCTTCTGTTCTTTCTTTGATTAAATATTTACTGAGTAAATGTGGAGAAGATAACTAAAGAAAGCACAGGATTATAACTAGGCATCTAACTTAAACAATGCAGGGAAATAGTTCTAGAGAAGTTGAGGAATTCATGCATTGAGGTGGTGGTAGCATGTGTATACTACCAACTAATCCCTCAAAATTAAAACAAAAAATCTTTTAAAAAACTTTTTAATTGATTCTTTGTGAATGTCACATCATATATCCTGATCCCATTCATCTCCCTGTCCCCTTGCTCCTGCCCACTGCCCTTGCATCTCCCTCAAAAAACAAAATTTAAAAGTAAAACCCAAAACCAAAACAAAACAAAAACAAAAATCAAAACATTATCATTATCAACAACAAAACAAATAAAAAATCTCAGTGTGGAAGCTGTAGTGTGACACAGTGAGTCATGCAGTGTATCTCAGTCCATACATTTTTACTTGCAAGTGTTTATTCCAATTAGTCATTTGTCTTGTTTGAAGCCTCTAAAAAATACTATCAAATTTTAGCATAAATAACGAGTGATCCAGTATAAGGGAAATTTATTCTAGGTATTATTTATTTTAGCACCTCAAAATAATGTATTAACATTATATAAAATAATGTGTAATAGTTAAATGATTTAGTTGGGAATGATGATGTACTACTAGCTGCCTCCATGTGACCCAGTAAAACAGAAGTCAGAATATGAAAAAAAAATAGACATTATAAACAAGTAAGAAGAGAAAAGCCTCAGAAATTCATGAAGATATTGACAGGATATCTGAAAATTGTGTAGAAAAACAGTGGTGACTCATGAAAACCAAGCAGAACATAGCTCCAGATTCCTCAAAACATAAGCCAGGTGGTCTGGAAGATAAGGATCTTGCACTCATTCCTACCTTCAAGAGAAGCCCATAGCCTTTCAAGACTCAAAAACAGATGGAGGTTTTGGTGAGAGAGTTGACCAGCAGTGGAGAGAAATTTCATTCTAAGAGGCTCTGTAACTTGGAGAGAAGGGACAGCATGCTATCTTAAGAGATAACTTATCCTTGGAAACTGAGACACACTGGAGCCTCCAGGAGGAACAGCTACAAGATTTAGAGATGACATGTAAATAGCTCTAGGGTGAGAGATAGCCCAGGGAAGCAGCTGTGGGAACAGACACTGAAAAACCCATAAAATGCCACATAGACTCAATGCAGAAATAGTGTGCTCAGGGAAAGGAGCCATATTCTTGGTTGTTGAAAGGAGATCTCAACTGAGAGTGATACTGGAGTTTGATTTCATTAATCTTGAGATCAGCCTAATAGTCATTCACTCCTTTTAAGTCTGAAAAACTGTAAAACTTTTGACTCATACTCAACACACACACATCCAGCATCAGAATATCATGGAATTATAATGGCAGATTTTCCACCTATACAGATTTCATTGCTATGGCTTCTTTTCAATGTCCTAACACAATCGGGAGGGACCTCCTGATATCCTTCCTAACTTAGCAATATTTTTATATTTTACTATTTTTACAAGCATGTTTTGCTCCTTATCTTCTTTGAAACATTCATCTAATTCTGTTTATACCGTTAGTCATTATCTAACAATCTTTTTTTTCCATTCTTTGTTATTCTTTTTGGCTTATGTCTCCCATGTTTTCCCATTTTTCTCTCTATAATAATTTTCATATTATTTTGTAGTTCTTTAAAAATAATGCTTCCTATTACTCCAAATGCACTTATTTAATCTTTCATGTTCTTTTTTGTCTT